CTGACAGTGTGCCAAAAGTTAAGAATTTTGTGCTTATTTCTCAAATGCTAGGGCTTTAAGAGGAAACAGGAAACAGCTCCTGTTGTCAAGAAAATCAGAGACAAATCTGTGAGTTGGGTAAATATGGGGGTAATTGTGAAGAGTTCTACCTTGGTTAAGCACACCTTTTCCCACATAAAACTAATATACATTGTCCTATATCAGCCAAGTCTGTTAATAAAACGCAAAAAAGATAATTTTTCCCTTTATAAAACCAAACCACCCAAATTGTGGTTGAGACCATATTTTCTGTCTTAGCTACTCTATTCCATAATTGAATGAACTAGGCATACTAAGACTCCATGATTAAACTCAGGAAATGGAAAAACAGACAAATTCTATTTCTGATTTCAAAGAAAAGCCTGTGGGAGATTAAGAAGAGGTGACAGGTTGCAATGGTACCATGCCTCAATTTCATTAATATTTTCTTCCTTATGGCCTAATCCAGAGCCCAGCATCTGAGAAGGTACTGAATCTGGTGTGGTTTTGAATCTTTTTTTGTCCCCAATGACATGTAAATAGATGTTTCTAACTAATCTCTGATAGTCATGAAGACTCCATCCTAGCACTCTTGACCAATGACTGCAACAAGGAAATCCATTTAGGGACTCTCACAATTACAGGATGCTTACTTGTCTCTCAGCTTAATAACTGAAAAAAAAAAAGGCTTGATGAATCCTTTATGTTTGGTAGACCTTTTCATTTGTATTTTTTTTTTTGTATTCTTGCCAGTTGGTGCTTTGTTCCTATTGCTTTTGAACTCTGTTCTCTTATGGATACCTTATATTCTTCGTGTGTGTGTGCGTGTGTATGTGTGTGTGTGTGTGTGTGTGTGTGTGTGTGTTATACATATATGCGTGTACACACACATGCTTATAAGTAAAATCTAGAGATCTATGTTAAGTGTTGCCCTCAGATGCTCTACCTGCTTTTTGAAATAGGGTTTCTTCAGTGAAACTGGAGCACATCAATTTGGCTTAGCTGTCTGGCCAGTGAAGCCCTAGTGTTCAACTGTCTCTAGCCCCAAAATGCTGGGGCAACAGACATGTTGCTATGCGAAGCTTTTACTGGACACTCAGGGTCTGAACCCAGGTCTCATACTTGCACAGCAAGGATTATATTGACTGAGCCATTTTTCCAATCCCACTTTTATTTCTTTTTAGTTTTATTTTATAAAATCTGAATTATCTTTCTTCCTTCTTGTAAGCTATAAAAATAAAGCACTGATATTAATGAAAAGAAGCCTTGGAAATTAATTTATCCAAAAAAGAGGAGGATGTGTGACAGATATTCTTAGCAACACTGAAATGCTTCACAAAGCCCGACCTTTCTTGCTCTCTGAAGACAGGACAGGAAAGTCACTGGACCATATTTAAAAATCCTCTCTAGGAGATTCGTTGAATATAGTCCACATAAGAAGTCCATAAACAGTAGTAACAAAGCTCCAGAGTGAAAGTGTGGTAGTGTAATAATGGCCTGTTATTCTTAGACCTAGATATAATTGAAAGATTCTGTGTTCATTTTCTGTGACTACATGGCATTGCAAAGGTCAGATGGGACCCTCCTGAAGAAAGCATATCTGATTACAGGGATAAGTTGTGGTCTCCAGGTTTCTATATGGTGTTGATACATCTAATGTGAATATAGAATATTTAAACTTGAAATTGTATTATATAGTACATTAACATAATTTTACTTTCTGTTACTACTTTCAAATAAAAAACAAATTTCTTCAGATTAAAAAAATTGGCCAAGATCCTCATAGTGTACAGCTACCTTACTGTTAGAATTATAAACTGTCTGTTATGAGGCCGTAGGAAATTGCCATTTTTTTCTAGGAAACAGAAAAGTCATGTTTCTAGGATTACTCCAGATATCAATTGATTAATTTTATTATTTTGTTATTTAAAAAGGCCTTTTTTATTTCAAAAACATATTCATTGACAGTAGTCTGCAAACATACATTGTGTTCTCCACTTTTCTCTATTTTGTGAACTTAGATAAGATAAAGCCATTTATGAATAATTCAGTACTATGTTTAAAATTATATCCTGAAATGAATATCTTGGAAATAAAAATTCTCTTATAAAGTATCAAGTTAAGTGATTGCCGTGTATAACTTGCTCTTAATTTCTATAAAATTGTAAATATAATGGTAAATTTAAATCATTTAAATACACCCTGTAATATTTGTTTTGAAACTGAATTTTACATGGCATTTCTCTTTTGAACGTGGTGTTGAATTCTGTAAAGTCTGAAGTAGCTAAGAATCCAGTCTTGTTCAAGCTTCCTCTAAATCTGAGCCTCAATTAATGACTCACTAAATTTTGTTTAGGTCCTTAGAATTCTGTGAAACTCATTTCTTAGTGATCCAAACTATTTTTCTTAAAAGCGTGAGGAGCCGGGCGGTGGTGGCGCACGCCTTTAATCCCAGCACTCGGGAGGCAGAGGCAGGTGGATCTCTGTGAGTTCGAGGCCAGCCTGGTCTACAAGAGCTAGTTCCAGGACAGGCTCCAAAGCTACAGAGAAACCCTGTCTCAAAAAAAACAAAACAAAACAAAAAACAGAAAACAAAAGCGTGAGGAACAGATTGAAATAAATTGACCTGAGAGTCCCGTCAGGTTAGAGGATAAATTTCTAGAATCTAACCTTTTCTAGCATGTATGTTTCCAGGGAACAGAGTGAGCTTGTCATGATTGTTTATTTAGATACCCAGGTTCTTCATACTTTTGTATGCTACTTCTCTCTTGTAAAATGAAGTTCATAGAGAAAATTAATATACAACACTGACTGTCCTGATACTGTGTAAACATTATGAAATGTGAGGTAAACATACATATCCTTGTATGATTTACTTTTTTTCAAGAAGCATATGTAAGATATTAAAATACTAGGATTTTATTCATTTTTGTAGATGTTCATTCATAAGAAATCTAGAATAAAAATATAATTTCTTTGAAATATTTACTTAATAACCTGCTCTTAAAGGTAAAATTCTTGTGTAAAGTCATTGGCATTTCTAAGGTTTAATTACATCATATTTGCCAATGCAAGCCTGTAGGTCCAAACGAGAAGCAGAAGGAAAGAGAATGTGAGCAAAGAAGGCAAGACCAGAGGGAACCTTCATCCGATGATGGATGGCGATACAGATGGAGACCCACATTGGAGTACCGGACTGAGCTCCCCAAGGTTCAAATGAGGAGCAGAAGGAGGAAGAACATGAAAAAGGAAATCAGGACCGCGAGGGGTGCGATCACCCACTGATACAAGGGGACTGATCTAATGAGAGTTCACCAACGCCAGTTGGACTGGGACTGAATGAGCATGTGATCCAACCAGATTCTCTGAATGTGGCCGGATTCTCTGAATGTGGCTGGCCCGGAGTCTTTCTGAAAAGCCATTGACAATTACACTGGGACTTGTTTCCTCTGCATATACTGGATTTTGGGGATCCAGTCTGTTCGGATACTCACCTTCCTGGACCTGGAGGGAGTGGGGAGGAACTTGAACTTCCCACAGGGCAGGAAACCCTGACTGCTCTTAGGGATGGAGAGGGAGGAGGAGAGGGAATGGGGGGAGTGGGAGGGTGTTGGGAGGGGGGCGGAAATGGAAACTTTTATAATTTAATAAACTTTGAAAAAAAATTCATCATTTTTGCTCATAACAATCCTTGAGCAGTATTGAGCAAGTTTGATCTTATGTGCATGTTGCAGAGTATTATGGAGACAGTATCTTCTGTTATTCTGCACTTTGCTTCTTTTGTGTTCAGATTCAAATATCATTAGATTGGTGATTTGATTTTTTTTATTTTCTATGGATTTTTTATTATGTTTCAAAGTTTTTTAATTTTCATAGACTCCCAACTTACCATACTTTTCCTTTTATCATTCATGTTTAAACAGTATTTATTTCCCACAATACAAGTGTTGTAGTTCTGAGGGCAAAAGTATCCTAGCAGTTGGGAGCAAGGAATACCACAGTTATACTGCACAACAAACCTCACAGAGAAAATTTATTGTGAAAGACACAAGAGGGTGGCTACCTCAGCTTAGGAGCCTCGGCCTTCTCATCCTTTTCTCTGATACACTGAGCATTCTTCTCCTTTCCCCCCAAAAGTTCAGTTTATTTTGCCCAAGAAGTCTTCAGAGTGGGGCCTGCCCTGGCCTGTGGTCAACCTACTAGGGATCAGATCAAAAAACAAACAAACAAACAAACAAACAAAACAACTCTTCCTCTTCCAACAGCTATCACAGGCCAATGGCTTCTCAACAAGGGGTGGTACTTGGTGCGCACCTGGCCACCTCTTTGCCGGGAGTTTGTTTGACCTAAGCTTGCATGTGTCTTATGCAAGCTTTCATAGTCACTGTAAGTGATCTTCCTGTTGTGTTGTGAAAACACTGTCTCCTTGAAGTCATCTACTACTACCACCACCAGCTCTTAAATTTCTGCCCCTTCTTCCAGGAAAAATCTTGTGCCTTGAGGTACATAGATCCTATTTATGGCTGAGCATTCCCCAGTCTGTTCTCCTCTGTGCATTGACTTATTGAAGATCTGTTATTTTCTTTGCTGTTTTTATGATTTTTCTTACTGTCTTTAGCTTGTAGCAGTTCAGTTACGATGTGCCTTGATATGGTTTTCTTTATTTTATTTGCAGCACATTACACTTTTTATTACTATAAGCTAATGGTTTTTGCAAAGTTGCGAAATTTTGTAATAATATCTTCAAAATATTGTCTACTCCTTCTGTTTCTCCCTCTTTGATTACAGTTGTTGAGCTATAAAAGATAGTTATGATATATGGTTTTAAACCATAAAGAAAATTAAAATAAGAGGAAATTATTACTAAAATGTCACTATTTCTCAGAAAATTTAGTTTTTTAAAAGTGCACACTGTACGGCATTTACATAGCAAATGTTAATGTTGCCTGTCTATTTTCCTTATTCTTACACAATCTCTCTAGGTGCCTTTCCTACCTCAGCTGTCTATGCAAGAAAGGACTTGCTACAAAGATCTACCCACATTGCTACCAAGACGTTCCAAGCTCTTCGCATCTTTGTGAACAATGAGCTCAATGAACTCTATACAGGACTGAAAACAGCACAGAAATTTCTGAAAACTGGTGGTCGTCTTGTTGCGCTTTCCTTCCATTCTTTAGAAGATCGCATTGTCAAACGATTTTTGCTTGGGATAAGTATGACAGAAAGATTTAACCTCAGCATTAGACAGAAGGTAAGACAAACGGCACAGCTGGATTCAAATCATGAGAGTGAGGGGAGCAGCTCTGGAAGAGCTCCTCTGATGTGGGATCTGATTCACAAGAAGGTACTTACCCCAGAAGATCAAGATGTCCAAGACAACCCCAGAGGGCGCTCAGCCAAGCTCAGGGCAGCTATCAAATTATGAGGATCTTATCATCAAAGTTTTCTTCTATACTTCTAATATTTTTCTAATTGAAAACATAGTTTCTGAACAGTTTAATGCAATGTAAAGTATGGGACAGCCTGGAAATTAGTGGTATTTAGTATTTTTTTCTCTAAAGATAATATTGGAAGTTTTAACATGACATAAAAACTTTCATTCAGAGAGCAGAGAGTCTCAAAACTGTAAGCACTTGTTGATCTCTGCATTGTATTTGAATTATAAAATTCAATTCTTTCTTTAATGAGGAAATGGAAAAACTGTGACATTGTATTAATCTAGGTTTGTAAACTCAAGCTGTCAAAAGAAAGATAATCATATTTGTATGCTCTAAATTTCAAACTAAGTTATTCACATTTCCAACAGACTTTCTATTGCCCAAATAATTCATGATGATTATGGAACAAATTATAGTTTCTACTACTAAAACTTTCTCAAATGTAAACTTTTTATAAGTTTTAATTTTCAATATTATTTAAAATCTGCCACACTGATGATTTTCACTAGCAAAATCATAGCTCATTGCTTTGAATGCGTTTCTTAGTAGGATCCACATTTCATGTTTTTCAGAGTAATCATATAGAATTTCCCTTACAGGCCACATGGAAAATTTGAAGTTCATAACTTCTATTTCATGCCAACTGTATCAATTGCTGTAATGTATAATACCTTTAGTGAACAATGTAATCTCTCATTTGCATCTTGTGTGTTTTTTAATTTTAGACATCATGCAAAGTAGTAAGTTTCTTTTTTATGGCATTTCTATGAAAATAAAGCATTGTATTGATTATTCTCACCCCCAATACTGTTCTCTTTCCCCTCCCCAATTCCTTCTTCCCTTACTGGACTGTCCTCCCCTAAAGTAGTCTCTTTCTCTACTTCATGTTGTCACAGATACTCTATTACCCTTTAGATATCACTCTCCCCTCTCTTAGTCCTCTTTCTACTTGTGTACACATATTATATTCATATGTGTATTTATACATATGTAACACACATGTAAGTTTAAATATAGTTTCTTTCTGCATATGAGAAGAAACATGTATTATTTGTCTTTCTGAATCTGACTTTTTTTGCTTGATATAATGATATCCAGTTTCATTCTATTTTTGAAGATGAAAAATAAAATAACCTCATTTTGTAACTGAATAAAATCCCACTGCTTATATGCACTATATTTTATTTGTGTGTGCATGTGTTGTTTTTTGTACACAGATGTGTGCGGGTGCTCATACACATGTATTTGTTTATGTGTAGGTCAGAGGTCAATGGCAGATGTCTTTCTCAGTTATTTTTTATCTTATTTATTTGAGATGGGGGTCTGTTAATTGACTTCAAGTTCACTGACTGCTTGCAGTGTATTGCCAGTTAGCTTCAGGGATCTACCTATTGCTAGCTTTTCATCCTGGAATCATAGATGTTCCCCTTATACACTAGTAGTTAAAGAAATGATGCCAAGAACTGACAATGGATTCCATGAAATTAAAATCAATAAAAAGAGTTTGAATGTTGATTATAAATGGACTAGTGAATAAACCATTCTTAAAATGTGAAGTGCAGATGTGCAATATTCATTTAAATGGCTAACATCTTTATACGTGAGGAAATAGAACTGAAACTTCATTGAGAGATTGTTTCTCCCATTCAGAAAAACAATCGTTAAGAAAACAAATTCTGCTTTCTGGGGCCCTCCATGCATGTCCCTCTTAGGGTCCTCCTTTTTACCTAGGTTCTCTAGGGTTGTGGACTGTAGCCTGGTTATCCTTTGCTTTTTGTCTAATATCCACTTATGAGTGAGTACATATTTGTCTTTCTGGGTCTGGGTTACCTTACTCAGGATGATTCTTTTCTAGTTTCATCTATTTGCCTGCAAATTTCATGATGTCATTGTTTTTTTACCTTGGAGTAACACTCCGTTGTATAGATGTACCACATTTTCTTTACCCATTCTTTGGTTGAGGGGCAGCTAGGTTGTTTCCAGGTTTTGGCTGGTACGAATAATGCTGCTATGAACATAGTTTAACAAGTGTCCTTATGATATGATTAGGCATCTTTTGGATATATGTCTAATAGTTAAGATCTCTTGGGTAAACTGGAAGGGGGTAGGAGGAAGAGGATGGAAATTAGAACATGAGGGAGGGATTGAGATGGCCAAATTGGGGGAGGAACAGAGAGGCAGAGCAATGGAAGAGCTGTCTTGATAGAGGGAGTCATTATGGGTGTAGAGAGAAACCTGATGCTAAGGAAATTCCCAGGAATCCACAAAGATGACATCAGCTAAGACTTCTAGCAGTAAGGGAGAGGGGGCCTGCACTGGCCTGACCCTGTAATCAGATTAGTGACCACCCTAACTGTCATCATAGAACCTACATCCAGTAACTGATTGAACAGATGCAGTGGTCCACAGGCAAGCACTGAGCTGAGCTCTTGTAGTTCAGCTGAAGAGAGGGAGTAGGGATCATATAAACAAGAAGAGTCAAGATCATGATGGGTCAAACAACAGACACAGCTGACCCAAGCTAGTGGGACCTCAGGGACTCTGGACTGACAGTTGGGGAACCTGAATGGGACCAAACTTGGCCCTCTGAATTTGAATGACAGTTGTGTGGCTTGATCTGTTTGTGGGGCCCCTGGAACTGGGACCAGGACTTATCCCAGGTATATGAATTGGCTTTTTTGGAGTCCATTCCCTATGCTGGGATATCTTGCCCAGTTTTGATGCAAGGGGGAGGTGAGGGACAGGAGAAGGGGAGGGAGGGGTACTGGGTGAGTATGTAAAATGAAAAGAAAATTTAAATAAAAGAGAAAAGAAAATGAATTATGGCCTGGGTGGACATAAAAGGAAAACCTTGTACTTTCCTAGGGAAAGTGTGACTTAGTCTAATCACTATGGAGATCAATTTGAAATTTCTTCAAAAAAATAAAAAAAAAAAACACTTAAAAATCATCTGGAAAGAACAGATAGTACACTTAACCTTAGCCAAGGAAGAGGTGTATGAGATGGTATAAAGGTAGAAAAGTGAGAAATGGAGCAAGATTGGCTAAGCGGACAGGAGTTAAGAGAGTAGACTAGAGAAGGGCTATAGGGAAACATAATTGTCATAGTTAATGTTTTATTCCTGTGAAAAGACGCCATGACCATGGCAACTCTTCAAAGGAAAACATTTTACTGGGGCTGGCTTACAGTTCATTTAGTCCATTGTCATCATGGTGGGAAGCATGGTGTCATGCAGGCAGACATGGTGCTGGATAGGTTTCTGAGAGTTAAGATCTGGATCCACAGGCCTAGTGAGCCACTAGGCCGGCCAGGCTTGAGTTTCTGAAACTTGAAAGCCCACTCCTCAGAGACACACTTCCTCCAACATGGCCACACCTATTCCACTAAGGCCATACCTCCAACAATGCTACTTCCTAAGAGTCTGTGGCGGCCATTTTCATTCAGACAACTGCAGTAACCTATACTAAAGACCTTTGTAAAAGACGTGGAAACCTTTTTCCGCAATATACACATATATACATTCCCAGAATTCTCCTGTTCTCATTGCCCCACCTATACTTTCTGCCTGGCTACGAGGCAGTCAGCATTTTATTAAAGCAATAAAACTTACAAATTTTTACGAGGTACAAGATCATTGTCCCACAGCATATTTCCAAAGTTTTTTTAAATCTTCTTACAATTTTTGTTTTGAAATAATAAACAGATAATTATTATTCCATATACTTTCAAGAATAATTCCAAATTTCTTCCACCAAAATTGTGAAAGTATTCTTAATTGAATTTAATAATTACACACAAACACACACACACACACACATGCTCACACACACTGCTTCTCATTCAATGTTCATGTAGAAAAGGCTAAATTTAGGAAAAATGCCTAAGCTTACATATTTCTTTTTATACTCACTGCTTCCATTATCATATAAATTATGTCGGTTGAGATAATATTAATTTATATTGTAACTTAACTCTGGAAAAATAAATATGAAGTAAAATTAGAAAACTAAGTCATACATCTTTGTAAGCCTATATTTTTAACTCATGTTTAAATAATTGCTGTAATATTTTAGCAGATATTTTATGTACTGAACATTCTATCATTGAAAAAGATAATCATTGAAATATGAATGGAGTTTTGTGGATGCTTGATTAATATGAATTGATAATAGAAATCCTAAACCAAAGACATTTTTCTTAGAACAATTATGCCATGTATTTAATAACAAATGGAGCTTTGCTTGCAAAGTCCACAAATATCGCAAAAGAATGGATTGTAGAAACAAAATATTTTTATATTTCTCAAATTTCATATTTTTGTCCAGTTTTGTTTGGGGATAGATGCTATCTTCAGCTAATAAAAATACAAGGTGATTTAACAGAATTTTAAGAGAATATCTAAATATAAATTACTTTTTAAAAGTCTCATAAACTATAAATTTTAAAAATAAAGATTTAATAGAATGATTTATATAAGATAAAAGTGGTCATAGTTCATAATATCTCCCACAATGGTCTTCAAAAACTTGGTGGTTAATTTTCACCTCAAAACCCATTCAAATTATTAAACAAAAAGTAAAAATTATGTAATATTTTGATCTATGAAGATCAAAGATTGTCCCTTTGTAACAGTGTAACACCATATGCAATTTGTTGCCTTAATTACTGGGCAAATCATTTACCAGTAATAGTTTCAATGTTACTTATCTGAATACTCAAATGGTTATATACAAATATAAAAATTAAACATGGATATGAGACATTTCTGACTCTTGAGTAATTGTGTCCCGTGATCTCCATCTTATATTTACCAATTAATATTCAACTGCCTTACTCAAATGAGAACTTATATTACTCAACTATAAACATGAGTTCCATCACCCAAGGAAAGTATTATCCAAGTGTTACTGGAACTAACAAACAGAACAGTATAAATAAATGCAACTATTGATGGTAGAGAAAATAAAAACATTGCCGGGCGGTGGTGGCACACGTCTTTAATCCCAGCACTGGGGAGGCAAAGGCAGGTGGATCTCTGTGAGTTTGAGGCCAGCCTGGTCTGCAAGAGCTAGTTCCAGGACAGGTACCAAAGATGCGGAGAAACTCTGTCTCGAAAAACCAAAAAGAAAGAAAGAATGAAAAAAGAGAGAGAATAAAAACATCAACTTTAAACATATGGTTGCTGAATATCTAAACTTAGGTATGATATTTAATTTCTAGAATTCTTGTTTATTTCACTAAAAAACAAGAACGATATTTAGACTTTGTAATGAAGTTCCTGTGAGTGAAACAGAGGATAATATTTATGCCTGAAATCTCAACTAAAAATGAAATTAAATAATGAACAATCTAGAAATATAGTGAACGGTGAGCTTATTTTGCTGACAAAGATTTACCATAATATACCCGATTATGTTAATGCGCTAATGGCGAATCAATCCCACACCAATTATGTTTAAGGGGGTATTTATTTTGGGGGGTAAGACTTACATACACCATAAACCGTCAGGAAGGGAGCCTAGTCGCTGGAGCAGGAGCCGGAGCGGGAGCCGGAACCAAGCACAGGAACCAAGAGGCCCGAACCAAGACTTGCGGCTCTTTTTAAAAGAGAAATATACCACGCACCAGTGGGCTGGTATTTCAGCAGCTATTGGCTGACAGAGTGGAAGGCGCTCCCGCAGCAATGTGCTTCATAATTGAGGATATATATGCCTTATCCTGGTAGCTGTAAGTATAGTCACTGTGTCACTCACAGCAATTGATGGAATTGTAATCCATTTATTCGGAAATTTTACTTCAATTTACTATTTATTGAAAGCCTTTGATGTTTGTCATATCTTGATGTTTTTAAAAAATACAGATGTTGGTCTTGTGGAATTTCTGTTTATTTAAAACAAGATGGCATTAAAGGAATCAGCTCCTAACATTGTTTGATATTTATTTAGGTTGGACAAAGCAACCTTGTATTCCTAATATAAAAGCACCCACTTATGTAAAAGAAAAACTTTTAGAACTCAAGGCAGTCATCAAACCACACACATTAATAGTTGGAGACTTCAACACACCTCTCTCACCAATAGACAGATCAATCAAACAGAAACTCAACAGAGAAATAAGAGAATTGCTAGAGGTAATGAATCAAATGGACTTAACAGATATCTATCATTCTACCCAAAAAG